TGCACCGCTGTGGGGTAAGCTCCTCTTTGCAGAATCAGGGCAAATTTCAAAGAGTAAAATTTAGTTATCTCAAGACAAGACTGCCGGGACCAGCCGACAGTGAGAACAAGTCCCGACCGCAGCAGCACGGAAGCCTGAGAAAAGGAAGCTGAAAGTAAAGAATGGGGTCGAGAGGGCTGAATGCTCTTTAGACAAGTCAGCAACTTTATTGAGTGAAACAGCTACTTTTATACAAGTACAAGTAGGAGACATCATACATAAGGAATGCCACCTGGTTTTAACCACATCAATACAATTTCTTTATCATGAGTGATTGCAGAAGCTAAGCATTATATTATTAACATTCTAAGATATACTAGGTGCCTATGACTAATATTCCTATAGATAAGCAAAAACAGGTCTGTTCATAACAAAGATAAAGGACTGCTCATTAACTTTCCTAGAGTCATAGAAACATGCTTGAGTAAATTCCTAAGAAACAGGGAACTAGGTAAAAGGTCACTATGTTTTTCTCAAGGAAGAACAAAGGAGGCTCGATGAATGTTTGATTACCTTATTATGGGGTGGCGGGACAGGGAATAGCCTCTTTCAAGGCTTTCCCAGGGCCTTTTTGGGCCTTTAGCAGGCCAGCTCCCCGCACAAGACAGTCAGAGTTACATTTGCAATTCATTATCAGTCTGTGCTTCAGAAATCCTCTGGGCAGTTCTGGTCGATTTGGACAGATGGCAAGTTTATGGAATTCAGGTATAATTTGCTTCATACACCTGATCCCAGTCTTCCCTTTCACTGCCACATTCACCTCCTCAGGGATTTATTTGTTTACTTCTTCACAGTTGGTTGTATTTTGCAGGGGTGGGGGGTGGGGGAAGGAATGCAAGTTGCAGATTTCTAAGTAAAATATACCTCTTGTTTTTTTCAACTCATCTCCTGGCCCCTGACACTTCCCTGCTGTTGCATTGCCATATTTAAGACCTGGGAGTCAAATAAGAGAAAAGTCTTCAAAAAAGATAGAAGTGATAAGTTTGAGATAGTTTAATTATTCTCATGTAGATATGCCTGGTTGGAAACTGGAGAAAATTAAAACATAGACATATAGCTACATATATGTGTAGTTATTAGAATAAAAAGTACACATAGTACATAGATTATAAATCTGGTACAGGATAATCAAAAAGTCTTTTGACCCAAATGTCATCAAAGTTTCTACAATAATATTGTCTCATATTTCATTTACCGGCTCCCATGTCAGACAGGTGCACTGAGACCATAGCAGGTCCCTTTCCACTAGTTACTGGCTGATAAATGAAGTCTTCTCCATGTGCTGCAGCACAGCCAATATCAGTAGACCAAAATTAAACAGGTAAATGGAAAGCAGCATGCATTCAGTGTAGCTGAGAGGATTTCCAAAAGAAGAGAGTAGTTTTGCATCAAAATTGATTACTGAGTTGTCCTCTAAATCTAATTGTTCCATGGTCTATCTAGCCAGATAGTTCCACATCTTCTTATAACCCCAATACATTTGTCAAGTGTGACTCAGGTAGAATTATGTCTTCACAAAGATTTGACTTTGTGAATATATGTTTATAATTTTAATGAAGTCCATTTATTAGTCCCTAACTTTATTGTTCATGCTTTTTGCATTTACTTAAAAAAATCTTTGCTTACACCAAGATCAGGCAGATATTTACCTGTTTTCTCTTAAAATTTTATGACTATTTTCATTTAGTCCCATCTTTAATTGGTTTTTGTGCTTGGATATGATGAGAGAGAGGCATTCGTATGTAATATTTTCCATATGGATGTTCAGTTGTCCTAGCATAATTTATTAAAAAGATCTTCTTTCCCTCTACCACAGTGTAGTTTATCTTTGCATTAGTCAACTAGTTGACTATGTGCAGATCTGTTTTTGATCTGTAGTTTGTTCCACTGCTATATTTTTTTCTTCCTCGCCAGTATCATACTTTCATAAGAAATGCAACTTCATGATAATCTTGCTGTTTGGTAATACAGGACCTCCAGCTTGTTCATCTTCAGTTGACTTGGCTACCCTTTTACTTTTGTAATTCCATGTAAACTTTAGAGTCAGCTACAAAAAAGTCTGCTAGGATTTGGATTTATATTGCATTAGATCTATAGATCATTCTGGGAAAAATCAATATCTTCAGAATATTGAATGTCCCAATCTAAGAGTGTGAATCCATCCCTCCCTAGTTTTTTTTTTTTAAGATCTTTAATTTATCTCAGCAGATTACTAAGGCTATAGTGAAGGGTCTTGCACATGTTGTGTTTAATTTATCCCTACATATTTGACATTTTGTGATGTTAATGTAAATGACATTTTAAATTTTGTTTTTAAAATTTGTTTGTTGCAGGCTTAAAGAAATGACCTTTGTATCCAACAACCTTGCTAAATTCAATTGTTAATTCTAGTAGTTTGTAGTGTCTTTTGACCTTTTTGATGTACATAATCATGTTGAAATGCTTAATGACAGTTTGTCTTCTTTTTAATCTTCACATCTCACTTGTTTTATGTTCTTTTGTCCTTTCTTGTTTTTTTGGTTTTAATTTGAATTTTTATTGTTTGATTTTTTTTCCCCTCTAGTAACTGCTTAGTTTTACACAAATCAGTTATACATTGTTTTACCTTTCTTCTGGTGGTAACTCGAGCAGTTACAATATGCATTCTTGACTTGGCATCCCTGGTGGCGCAGACGATAAAGAATCTTGATTTACTACAGTTTAGTAAAAATTACCTGGAGAAGGCAATGGCACCCCACTCCAGTACTCTTGCCTGGAAAATCCCATGGACGGAGGAGCCTGGTGGGCTGCAGTCCGTCGGGTCGCTACGAGTCGGAGACGACTGAGCGACTTCACTTTCACTTTTCACTTTCACGCATGGGAGAAGGAAATGGCAACCCACTCCAGTGTTCTTGCCTCGAGAATCCCAGGGACGGGAGAGCCTGGTGGGCTGCCGTCTGTGGGGTCGCACAGAGTCGGACACGAGTGAAGCGACTTAGCAGCAGCAGCAGCAAAAATTACCAGGGCTTCCCTGATGGTTCAGTGGTCAAGAATTTGCTTACTAATGTAGGAGACGTGGGTTCCATCCCTGAGTTGGGAAGATCCCCTGGAGAAGGAAATGATGGTATTTTTGCCAGGAAAATCCCATGGACAGAGGAGACTGTTGGGCTACAATCCATAGCGTCACAAAGAGTCAGTCGATCATGACTTAGTGACTAAACGACGACAAAAATTACTACTTTTACCACTTTCCCAGTAATGTTAGGATATTATGATACTTGAACTCTATTTACCCTCTTCTGTATTTTGCATTATTTTTGTCAAAAGCATTATTCTATGTAATTTTAAATCCCACAAGATAGTTAATATTGTTTTATCGAGTTTGTGTTGATTAAACATATTCAAAAATTACTTTTTCCAGTGTTCTTCATCCCTTCTTTCATTCTTTATTTCTGTCTGGGATCATTGTCCATCTGTTGGAAGAACTCCCTTTTAGGATTTTAGTGCTTTCCTGTTACCATGAATTCTCAGTTTTTCTTTGTCTAAAAAATGTGTTTATTTCACCTTTATTTGAAAGAAATTGTTTTTCTGGGTCTAGAAATCTAAATATGTGCTTCTATACCAACTACCATTTAATAGTCTTACAGATAGATGAAAATTTATTGAGCTTCAAATAATTTTCATAATTTATAAAGTTAACATTGATCTTGCTGTTCTAGTCAATATCATGTAATTTCTCCTAACATCCCCTTCTTTCTAGTGTTCTATAATGGGAATAGTCTCAGATTTGAAAAGAAAAATACTTAAGAGTCAGTTTAACTTAAACCAAGTCATTTAACTTCTCTGAGCCAGTTTCATCATGTCTAAAAGGGGGGAAATATATTATTGGCTTTATTTCACTGGGAAATTATGAGGCTCTGTTGAGATCTGTATGAAAGTGCTTTGTATTATGTAAAGTACCAATCATTTAAAAAAATTTAGTGTTATTATTTATGGGAACAGAAACATTTTCAATGTATACATCCAGGATTTTCTTACAAATGCACATTTTGTTGAACACCCACAAAATGGTTAAAAAGATAGTATTCATGTATGTATGTATTGATATATACTTTGCCTTTTATGTTTGAAGTTACATAAAACACAGCTTACACAAGGTCAGTGGCAAATTTACTCTGATCTTTCAAACAACTAATAAGAAAAGCGAGACCTGGCTAGTTATATAATTCAAAATACCCAGAAGGTAAAATTAACCCATTATTCAGGAGAAAAGTTCTTTCTTAACACTAAGTTCAGAAATTTCCCCTTAGTTTTCTTAATGATGTAGATTATTTAAAATATTTTTCTACTGGTTTAGAGATGAGTGATTTTCATAGTTATTACAAGTTAGTGTTGGACTGATCTAGAACCTTAATATTCTGTTTCATACTCCTAAAGGGAGAATTTATGCACATTAATATGAGCTGCAGGCAACCACTCTCCCACCCTATTTGCAAATGGATTCTATTTAGAAAACTAATAAAGATGCCGGCTTCCTTTTCAAAATTCTTGGGCATACATTAGAGGGAAGGCTAGGCTAATAAATTTAAATTTCATTTTGTGTGTATAACGCTGACTGAACTGCCTTAGCAAGACAGTGTTTATCTGCATTTTAGTTTTCCTTCGAAGAGGTCAGTTCAAAGATTCCTTACTACCTGTATCAAATATTTATTGAGTCCCTACTCTGTGTAGGCATATTCCTGTTGGATTGTTTGCTCTCCTCTGACAAAAGGTGTTCATTCAGACTTACATTTTGTGCTTTCCTCTTTCATTTTTTCCTTTATTTTTTTTTTTAATAAACATGTATTTAAGTAGAAAACAAAGTGGATGTTAGTGCCTTACCTCCACTGCCTTAGCACATCTGAGGTTTTGTATTTTGTATGATGATCAAATTTAAAAGAGGACATTTATTCCTCATTCAGATCCTTTGATTGTGTCTTCAGGTCCCTGGCATGCATTTTGTATGAGATGTGCTGCATGAATCATGCATTCACTGGCTCCAATTTCTTATCCATTGTTTTAAAAATTGTTGAAGGAGACACTCCTTCTCTCCCTGAGAGATACCCAAGACAGCTGAATGCCATTATGGAAAGGTACAGAAAGAAATGTATTGCTGCATAAACAATTTTAAATTGTACTTAACATTTTAGTTCATTTGAAAAATAATCTTCTTTTTAAACATTGCAGCATGTTGAACAAGAGTCCTTCATTGAGACCATCTGCAATAGAAATTCTAAAACTTCCTTACATTGATGAACAACTACAGGTATTTAAAATGAAAGGGATATTGGGAAGTACATATTAGCATTTGTATATCTTCTAGGACTTGAAGATGTGCTGCATTAAAGAATCAGTCAGAAAGGAGAAGCAAGAAGTTTTTTAAAAGCTGGGGGAGATTGTTAGTAGTCAGTCTCTTTGCCAAAGAAGGTGTATGAACTCCAGTTTCCTGGTGCCCCAGATATGAGAAGTTAGAATTGTAATTTTCTCCCTAACAGCAACATCCACCCTTAGAACTCTTGACTCACAAATCTTTCCTTGATACTTTGTAAGTGTATTCCTGCTAGTATAACAATGTACTACTAATGATGCAAAATCTGGAGGTTTCATTAGGCCTTTATTATTCTACTCCTTTATTTTGTATCCTAATAATACTTTTTATTGCTTAGCTGAGTTTATTTTGTTTTCCTGTAGATTAGACATTCTGATGCAGAGAATCTGCCTTCAATGGTAAGAACAGAAAATGATATCCTCTCAGGAGGTTTTGTTTTTGTTTGTTTGTTTTAGATTTTATAGGCTTTTACAATCCAAATCCCTCAGGCAGATTTCCTTTAATTTTATGAATAATTTTAAGTGGATCCACAAAGCAGTCATTCACCTTCACAAATGGACACACCTTTTCACCAGTATCCAGTTCTCAGTCCACAGCAAGCAGGGATGCTGACTTGATGTGCAGTTGTTAGTTGAGCACCCAGCACTGTGCTGACACTCCAGGCCTGGGGGGGAGGTTGGTTAAATGACAGGCACAGATATGGCTTCTGTCCTTTGAAGCTTGACTGCTAGTAAGAGGATCCAATAACCAAGAAAAAGTAAGCAAGTAAAAAAAATAATTGTAAACTATCAGAAGCACTAGGAAGAAAGAAAACAGGATGCTGTGAAATACAGTAAAGGGAGGGCTTTGTTGGTCAGAGAAGGAGCAGGTTGACATTGCAACATCGGTGAGACAGTGAGAAGCAGCCAGCCCTACAGAAAGCCTGAATGAGAATGTTGGGATCACATGGAGTGGGTGCTATAAAGCCCTGACTTAGGTGATATTCCCTGGAGGAGGAACCCCTAAAGATGTGGGATGAGCATGACAGGACGGGGAGGTGGTAGGAGCTCCCTGCTGCTTGTAGCTCTCCCGGAACATAGCTGTCTTCTTGTCTGAGGGCAGACTTCTGAGAAGAGGCTGGCTATTGTGATCAAAACCACGATGAAGGGTATGTGAGCCAACAAACATACAATTCACAAGGTATCCAATAGATTCCCTGGAAATAGGGTGAGACAAGTGAGGCATTTGCCCTGGTGCAAAATTAAAGAGGATGCCAAGAACTCAGTAATCAAGATAAACTGTGTTGTGATGCAATGTTTAAAAAATCCAAAGTGATGCTAATAAAAAATCCATAGTAACAAAGTACCAAAAGTTCAAGGACAGGATCCAACAAGGTTAGGATTAAGGTGAAGCTAAAATGAAGCAGGGATGAAACTGCAGAGCATTCCCAGGGATGAAAGTCCCTCCATGTCCACTGTTACTGTAGAAAAAGGCTTTTTTTAGTCTCCTAGCTCTTCCAAGTTCCAAAATGCAGACTCAAACTGTTACTAATTAGAGAAATGAGGCAATGCAGAAACAAAAGAAAAGCAGTCAAGCAAGAAAAGTAAAATAGTCTAAACAATAGTTCCATGAATCCTAGGTCTTCCCCCAAGGGGTATATATAATGACCTGTTGCATACCTTTGAGTTGTTCTGCAGAAACTAAGACCCCCTATCCAGGTGGTGACTATATGATGCCCACTAGTATGTAGACCTCAGACTGGTTGATGATTAAGATTTCCAAAACACCACCCTACCTGTCACCTCACCACCTACCAATCCTAAGAAAGTCTGTGAGCTGCAACCCTCACCCCAAATGTTGCCTTTAAAACACTTTCCCTGAAGTCATATACACACTGCTATATTCAAAATGGATAACCAACAAGGACCTATTGTTTAGCACATGGAACTCTACTCAAAGTTGTGCCAGAGTGGATGGGGGTGGGGTCTGGGGGAGAATGGATGCATGTATGTGTATGGCTGAGTCCCTTCACTGTTCACCTGGAACTATCACAACATTGTTAATCAGTTATAGGCCAGTACACAAATAAAAAGCTTAAAGTTTGGAAAAAAAACAAACCCTTCCCTGAAAGCTATCAGGGAGTTTGGGTCTTTTGAATATTAGGTGCCCATTCTCCTTTCTTGGCACCCTGCCATAAACACTGTACTTTCCTGCACCACAGTCTGGGGTCAGTTAAATTGGTTTTGCTGGCAAGTAGACCTAAGGTCAGCTTGAAAAGAAAGTGAGATGGAATGCTCTAAGTTCAGGACTGGGTTTAATATTGTATTCTCCAAGGCTTTTTGTCATTAATTTAAAAAACATTATTGTATTAAAATATTATTTATCTTAGTTACTGAGTTTCTTGTGCCCCTTAAGTTTGCACCTGAGAGGTGAGTGTCCTCTCACCCTAGTCCTGGCCCTGGTGATGCTGAAACTTGGCCTGTGTGCACCAGTGCTGAACCAAATGCTGGAGACAAGAGTTTTGGGTGAGGTGGAGAAGAATAGCTTTATTGCTTTGTGAGACAAACGGGGACACAGTGGGCTCATGCCCGCAAAACCGTGTGTTCCAGCTTAGGGGTGCTGGTGGCTCAAACACTAAAGCGTCTGCCTACCATGCGGAAGACCTGGGTTCAGTTCCTGGGTAGGGAAGATCTCCTGGAGAAGGAAATAGCAACCCACTCCAGTATTCTTGCCTGGAAAATCCCATGGTTAGAGGAGCCTGGTAGGCTACAGTCCACTGGGCTGCAAAGAGTCAGACATGACTGAGCGACTTCACTTTCACTTTTCACTTTATAGCAATGGTTCAAGGGTAGAGTTACTGATAAGGGTCAGGGTGTGTGCAGGGCCTTCACTCCTTTAGTCTGGTCTCAAGTGATCTCCTGATGAGCTTCTGTGGTCCCTGAGATTATCAATCTGTGACCTTCTCTGTGGAATGAGGAATGCTTCCTCAAGTAGTTAATATCTTCCATTTATTCAGGGTTTTAGTTCTGCAGAAGAGCTCAGAGATACTGTTATACGTACCCCTCGTGGAGGACCAGGACTCTGCCCCAAGGCTGCACTGTTGTTTTTTGCCTACTCCTCCCTTGTCTCTGCATCCCCTCCCTTCCCTGATCAACAACTGTTTGAACCTGCCCTTTGGAATCAGGGAAGGTCATGGAGGCTGAGTCTATTCCCTATAAAGGAGAAACAGGTGACACAGAAAGACTTTCTTGCCCAGGAGCCCCGCAGGTTTCTGCTTGGTTTCGCTGGGAGTGAAGACATTGTCCACTAACAGCCCTGAGGTGGGAGAAAGCTGTGTATTCTTGGAGCTGAGAAAAGGCCTGTCTGTATCTGGGTGACTGGAAGTGAGAGAGCAATATGAGGTTAGAGAGGTAGGCAGGGGCCTGACCCCACAGGAGCTGCTGTGTAATGTTTTAAACCCTTTACAGAAGGAAAAATGTTACTGGTCGGTTTGATTTTAAGCCTCAGACACGGTCAATAGTATTACACATCAGAAAAGGCCCCTGGTCATTTTATGCCTCTTCATCCCTGAAGAGGTTTCTTTAAGGCACGTTATGGCTGTTCTTTTTTCAGGACCTGATGTGTCGATATTCGAAAATGGCCCTGGAAGACAAGAATTTGAATAGTCAGGAGGAAGCAGCTTATATACTTAATGCTGTGTAAGTAATTGCTTTATTTAAAAAAAGCCCACTGAGTATAAATGTTAAATGCATTTATCTTAAAAAATCTATTAGTGGTAAGCTGACTGCATGTAGTATCCTAGAATTCACTTAAGTCTTGCCAAGAAATTAAGGAGTTTCAGTAACTTGATGTTTCAAATCCCTTTGCCCCAGGTGGTAGCAAATTGAAACCATAAAAGTTTAAACCTCTACAAAGCTACAAAGCTTTACAGATCTGCAGGGTAGCTCTGCAGTTGCACTGTAAGTATATAAAGAAATTTATCTTTCAAGCATTTAGTGACATTTATGCTAATGAACATTCAGATTAAGCATAAATGACTATCACATATTGTTTGTTTAGCAGGAACTGGCAGAGTATATTAAAAAGTCGACATTGTGGAGTCTTGGGACAACTGAAAATAAGCCAAAATTTACTTTCTTGACATGTGCATAAGAACTAGAGGATGTGTGTTTCATATTTCTCTCTCCTGCCTGATTCAGAGTTCCTATGCCATAACTTACAAGAGCCCAGAATACTAGCTTATGTCAGAATAGCCATGTGCCGCTGTGCAGGCTGTTACTGCACAACTCCAGAGGGCACTACTGAGGAGACCAAATCTAATTTTGCTAACGGGACTGTATTTAATTTTGTGAGGACCCAGTGAGAGTGACAGCCCCTCCCAGAGCTGTGCAAAGCTGTGAAGTAAGAACATTAGCCATTAGCAGCTTGATCTTCAAGGTCAAATTACACAAATATGCTTCTCTATCACCCAGTCCAGGGGTTTCTCAACTGTGCTATGTTTGTCTTCCATATCCACATTCAAACTGAGGGAACTGGTCCATCCAAGGTATTCAGTCATTTTTTTATTGCTTGTTTTCCGTTTAAATTCCCTGTACCTTAAGAGAGATATCTTTAGGCATGCTCCTATAACCTAGTTTTCTTGGGTTACTACCTATTTTTTCAAGAATGCTTGGAACTTCTCATTTTATTTTATTAACGGGATACGTGAGAATAATAGATACCTTATTTTTAAAATAATGGACTTACTTTAGCTATCAATTTGCACTGTAATTGAGAAACAGTTTGCCTGACTGTGCTTACAATTTTATTGTGCTCGAATCCAATTCTTTGGGTGGTCTTTCACATTATGAGATATTGATTTCAAATTGTAACTGTTATTTTCAAGATATATGACTCTGTTTTGAGGGTTCTTTTTGGTCTTACAAAGACTAAGGGCATATGTATTCCTGAAAACTGCATGGCCCCTGGAGGTTCTGGTCTGAACTATATTCCAGAAGAATGAGAACTGCCTAGAAATCATTAAAATTTCCTCATAATGTTTCTTCAGGAGGGAGTTGAGTGCAAAAGGCATTCCACTTTTGGGCCATAATCAAGCCAAATGCCATTAAGAATGTGGCTGCAGACCTTTCAGTACATTTAATATATGCACATTACTTTAACTGAAGAAAGAGGCTCTTGAATAATATTGGCTAACATTTCCAGAGATAATGACCATATGCTTTGCTCTGTTATAAGCTCTTTGCCTGAATTAGCTCATTTAACCTCAAAGTGACCCATAAAATAGGTACTATTATTATTATTATTATTATTTAAATGAACATAGAGAGATTAAGTAACTTGTCTAAAGGCATATAGCATGTAGCCTAATGCAGGAGACCCTGGTTCAGTTCCTGGGTTGGGAAGATCTTCTGGAGAAGGGATAGGCTATCCACTCCAGTATTCTTGGGCTTACCTGGTGGCTCAGATGGTAAAGAATCCGCCTGCAATGCGGGAGACCTGGGTTCTATCCCCAGTTGAGAAGATCCTCTGGAGAAGGGAAAGGCTCCCCCCTCCAGTATTCTAGCCTGGAGAATTTCATGGACTGTATATTCCATGGGGTTGCAAAGAATCAGACCTGACTGAGTGACTTTCACTTACACTTTAAGAGCTAGCATTTGAACCCAGTGAATGGTCTTAACCACTCAATTAATCACTATGCCGTGAAAATACCTACTGGGGAGGGGGAACTTTCAAGATGGCAGAGGAGTGAGATGTGGAGATCATCTTCCTCCCCATAAATATGTAAAAAATATGTCTGTATGTGGAACAACTCCTACAGAACATCTACTGAACACTGGCAGAAGACCTCTAAGCTAATCTCTGTGTAACAGGGTAAGGCAAAAGAAATCAGGGAAAAAAAAAAAAAAAAGAGCCAGAGGGATCAGGACAGAACCTGTGCTTCAGGGAGGGACCTATAAAGGAGGAAAAGTTTTCACACACTTGAAAACCCCCTCACAGAGGGAAATGGGGGCAGACAGAACCTCAGAGGGGAGCACAGCAACAAAAAGTGAGCAGAAGGCAAAGCAGAGAGAATTCAGCACAGAGATCAGTGCCGACCAGAACTTCCCAGCCTGAGATGCTTGTTTGCGTGCTTGCCGTGGTGAGTTGGGGCTGGGTGCTGAGGCTCAGTCTTTGGAGTCAGGACCCAGGAAGAGGACAGGTTTAACTGCCATGAAGACAGACTGAGGGGGCTACTACAACACAGTTGAGGGAGTCCAGGGGGAAGCCTGGGCCAGCCAGAGAGACAAGGGACTTTCTAACTCTGAATGCTTGCAGATGGCAGGACACCACCTTTATAAGTACCAGAGTCACGATGGGTCACTGCTGCAGTTCGTGACCCCAGGAGTGGGTATGAAGGCTGCTGCAGCTGCCACCAGGCTGTGAGCAGGCAGGTTACTGCCCATACCTTACTGGGAGCCTGTGCAGCCTGGCACTGCCAAGGGACCCACAAGCTGGGGCCGATTCCCCTGGGAGAGCACATTGCTTGCCTCAGGCTGCAGCAAATCCCTGCAGGCCTCTGCTACCACAGACACTTCTCGCCCATCCCGATTGTGTCTGCTGTGCCTCTCCTGCTCCGCAGCCCGGCTGAGCAAGTGAGCCTTGTGCAGCTGCGGCAGCTGCTTCCCTGGCGGCTCAGCTGGTCAAAATCTGCCTGCAATGCAAGAGACCTGGGTTTGACCCCTGCGTTGGGAAAACCCTCTGGAGAAGGGAACAGGCTACCCACTCCAGAATTCTGGCCTTGAGAATTCCGTGGACTGTGCAGTCTATGGGGTCACAAAGAGTCAGACATGACTGAGCAACTTTCACTGTCTGGGCTGGGAACAGACAATGGAATGTGGCCTACAAACAGAGGTGGGGCCAAAACCAACGCTGAACATGAGGAGCTGTGTGACCAAAGAAGAGGAAGGGAATTCACTTCCGTAGCTGCAGGTACAGCAGGTTAAATCCCTGCAATTAGCTTGAGGCTGTGGATTTTGGTGGCAACTGTGGACTTTGGGGGCAATTGTCGCCTTTGGAAGCAAGTACAAGCTGGAGTAAGACCAGATCCGAGTCTGAGCTGACTCCACAGTGCCAGCAGGTCCAGAGACCTTCCTAGAAATATTAGAGAACTTTCTGAGTAGACAGATTGGCTGGAGCTCACTGTGTGGCAAGGACAACTGAGGCCCCAGGAAAATATTCTTCTTACTACCACTCTCTCTTTTTTCTTTTTCATTTCATTCTATTGTTCTTTTTTTTATTAGTTCTTTAATTTTTTGTTTTTACTTACTTTTTGCTTTTTTAATGCTTTAAAAAATTATTGTATTTCCCTCTATTTCTACAGTAGTTTTTCATTTTATTGTATTTTCCCCTGTGTTTTTGGTTTTGTATTTTTGCTACGATAGTTTTTAGTGTTTGTTTTCATTTGTATGTTTCTTTATTGGTTTGATTGCCTCTTATTTGTTGGTTCCTCTTTTTACTCTTTCTTCTTTTTTGTGTGTGTGAGTTTCCTTGTGTGTTCCTGTATGTTTAGTGTTGCTTTTACCATTTGTCGTGGGGTTTTGTCTGTCCATTCTTTTTGTTTGTTTGTATGTTTGCTTGATATTTATTCTATTTCTCTCTTTGTCTTTTTCTTCTGTGCTGTGTGGCTTGTGGAGTCTTTGTGCTCCAGCCACGGTTTGAGCCTGAATTTCCAAGGTGGAAGACAGAGTCCAGAACATTGGACAACAGCAAGCTCCCGACCCCATAGAATATTAATCAGCAAGAGCTCTCCCAAAGGTGTCCATCTCAATGCTAAGACCTGACCTCACATGAAGACCAGCAAGCTCCAGTGCCAGACAATCAGACCAAACAACTAGCCAAACAAGAGCACAACACTACCTGTTAGCAGACAGGCTTCCCAAAGGCATGCTGAGCTCACAGACTCCCCAAAACATACCACTGGACATGGCATTACCCTTCAGAGAGACAAGATCCACCTCCACCTACCAGAACACAGGCACCAGTCCCCCGCCAACAGGAAGCCTTCACAAAGCACTGGTCTGACCCCACCCAATGGTGGCAGAAGTAAGAGGAACGACAGCCTTGCAGCCTGTGAAGAGAGGACTCCAAACACAGTAAATTAAACAAAATTAAAACATAGAGAAGTATGCAGCAGATGAGGGAGGATGCTAAAAATGAAAAAGACCAAACAAACGAAGAGGAAATAGACAGTCTACCTGAAAAAGAATTCAGAGTAATGATAGTAAAGATGATCCAAAATCTCAGAACTAAAGTGGAGGCACAGATAAATAGAATAGAGGCCCAGATTGAGAAGACACAGAAAATGTTTCACAAGGACCCGTAAGAAATAAGTAGACTTGCTCAGTCGTGTCTGACTCTTTGCGACCCCATGCACTGTAGCCTACCAGACTCCTCAGTCCATGGAACTTTCCAGGCAAGAGTACTGGAGTAGGTTGCCATTTCCTTATAAAGGAGAAAGAAAGCTTAGGGCTCACTTGCTCAGGAGAGGTACAGCAGACACCGGGGATGTGTGGGGGGCACCTCCAGGCTGAGGCAGGTCCTGTGCTCTTCCAGGGGAACTGGCCCCAGTTCGTGGGTTCCTTGGCAATGCCAGATTGCACAGGCTCCCAGAAAAGTGTGGGCAGTGACCTGACAGTCAATGATGGACACCATAATGACT